AGTTCTTGCAGTTGGGCCCTGCAGGGGAAAAGACCAAGATCAGAACCACAGCTCTGTGACTTCCTAAGCTGTGGGAACTTGGGCCGGAGTCTCCACGTCCCTGGAGCTCAGTGTCCTTATCTGAAAAATGGGGATATGAGACTGCTTTGCAGGGCATGGTGAAAACTCAGTAAGTCAGTCCTGTGAATGAGGTTAGCCCAGCGCCTGGCAGATAGCGAGTGCAGGGTCACGGTTAACCACAACTACTCCGGCAACGTTATACGTACAAGGGTCAATGCTTCCTGCCATGGAATATGCAAAACCGGTAACGCCTTAGTCCACATACGTCCATAAATACAATGTAAGAGAATGACAGATGCTAGAGAAGGACGTACTGCCCTGGACGAGGAGGGGAGAGAAATGTTCATTTGAGTGAGGGTATCTGGGACATCTTCAGGGCAGGACGTGGCACGTGAAGGATGGGAAAATGTGCAAAGGTTGCAATGGGGGAGGCCAGGCCACGGGGGAGGGAGGACGGCATAAGCCAAGTGTAGAGAGAGGTCCGTAAGTATAAGGCATATTCTCACGACAGTGGATTGTTCATTTTAGCTAGAAAATAAAATACAATAATAAAATAAAACAAGATAAGATAAGATAAAATAAAATAAAATAAAATAAAATAAAATAAAATAAAATAAAATAAGCAAACTGACTTTTATTCTGTAGGAGAAGGGAAGCCACTGAAAGATTTCCAGCAAGGTCATGTTCTGCTCAGGGTCACCCTTTAGATGGATGACATGTTGGCAGAGTACAGGAGGGCATGATGGGGGACAAGATGGGGGCAAGAAACCAGTTAGGAGGCTCCTTCGATAGCCCTGACGAGAGGTTTTGAGGACCCAATCTTGGGCAGGATTGGTGGGAACATAAACAAAGACCAATCAATTTGAGCCACACTGTGGAGGGAAAACCAAGTGATTACGTGGTTATTCACAGGGTGGCCAAGGAGGACCAAGGGATGAGAAGAGGGAGCAGTTGGACCAGTGCCTCCATGGATCTGATTCCTAATTGCCAGGGCCATATGGCAGGAGCAGCAGGGCCCTACGGATGCGACTCTTGGCTCAGGAGAAGGGGCCAAGGTTGGGAGTGAAGGAAATGGCCAGGGAGAAGGTGTCATTCAAAAGGAGAGGGCTCAGGACTGGAGAAAAGTGGTGTCCACCTTGCACAGGGCTCCAGGTTCGTAAGTCAGTTGATTAGATTATGTGTGGTCAAAAACCCTCATGGAGGAATGTACTGGAAAGCAGCTCCTGAACTCGCAGGAAGTTTGACAACTTCCCCGCACTGTTGGAATAGATCACTTTTTCTTTCACAGGCCAACAGATAAGGCTTGCACTGTGTGGGCAGGTTATGTGAAAAAAAAAAGTCACTTTTCATATTCAAATCATACTCAGTGGAAGGAGACTGTCACATTACAAGAGAGGGAGAAATGCAGACAGCAAAGACGACCAAGGGACCCTCCCACAACCCACCATCCCAGGCAATCATTGTGGAGCCACCCACACCACTGACATCATCTCCCTCATGCACAGAACCTCAATTTACTTTGCTCAAAGAAAATGTGTTTGTCCCATGGCACTACTGCATTGACACAAGGCCCTTTTATCAGGTGTAGAAAGTTCTAGAAGACACTAAAGAATGTAGGTCTTGCCTTGGAGAAACTCTGTTTAGCACCACCCTAGTAGACCACCCTGTGTCTTCTTAGCCAGAAATGCATTCACCTGGCCACTGTCAGCTGAGAGAAAGGCTGGGAAGTGAGCATCTTAGCTCGTCCATCCTCTAAGGAAAGAGGCGAGAAGGGAAGAAAAAAATACTATTATTGGAGAGGAAAATTGTAAGTTTTCAGATCCTCGGAGGACGTGCTAGTTTAGATCGTCTACTCTGAATGCAACATTTTATACACAAGAAAAGAACTGAGTCCTGGAGTCCTGGGTGGAGGGAGTAACTTGCCTGCCCTGGTCCTGTTGTTGTGGCAGAGCTGGGGTTTGAACCAAGCCTTCCAGCTCTGGAGATCTTTCCACTCCCGCCATAATAGCCCTCTTAGGCTGCAGAAGGGTGTCTGGCTTGGAAAGCTGTTAAGAGAAAAAGAAAGAAAAGAAAAGAAGCTCCCGCATAACTAAGGTGGGATCTGTTGTCACAAGACCCAGAAAACTAAGCCCAGGCACTCGGACTTGCTCTGAGGGGCAACGGGGAGCCATTGTAGAATCTTAAACAGGAGCGTGGCAATTTGAGTTGCTCGTAGGTAGATATTATATAAATAGAAGGGGTTATTTCTCTGTTGATTACGGCTGCTGATTCAGCCAAGGGGAAATGGAGTTCTGGACAGGCTCGTACCTCCAGCGGTGACTGCAGGTGCTGTCGAGGGGAGGTGCAGGCCGCTGTCTGACATCCTCAAAAGGCCCCTGCTCTCCCGAGAACAGCTTGATGCTTATTGCTAATAACAAGGCTGGCAGCCGGCTGCAGCTTTCACTCAAAATTCTCCAGCTTTCAGTAATCAAAGCCAGGCCTGAGTTGTTCCTTGGCCCTAGACTGCAAAAGGAATTTCCTTTATTTTTGAACACGGAGAGAATAAAAAGAAGTACAAGTTGTTTTATAAGACAAGTGGGGCAGCAATTGGAAATAGGCATTTAGGCATCTCTTAGGGATTAACATCAGGACTCATTTAACGGCTTGGAGTGTTAATAAGGATGAGATGTATTTATTTTTCCCTGGGTTCTTTTTAGGAATCCCTGGGCAATGTTCTGGAATTGATCTACACTGGTTCAAATTTCACACATCCCCCCATTTTCCATGCTGATTCTCCCACCCCTCTTTTGATTGAGTTGTGCCTCCTTTTAACTTGGAGAGAAAACCTTATCCAGGGTGCACAACTGGGCATAATTGGTACCCAGAAATACTGTTCATCGGGTTGAGGCAGCTCAGCAAACAAAATGGCCTTTTTTTTTTTTACCTAGGGAATCTGGTTTGAAAATTGGACATTAAGTTACACTTCTAATTGAAATGAATTTGATGGTTTCAGAACAGTCCCCAGTGATCCCAGCCCACATCATAAAAACCACCATAGGCAAATTGGCACGATTCAGCCTTGGCTCAAATAGGCTAGGGAGTAAAAGAAGATGTAAACTGAATTTGTGGTTGTTTTTATCTTCAAACAGACAGGTTAGGGGGAGCTTCCAGAGGAGAATTCTTGGGTCAGATTGCACAATTTTCCTGACAGCCTGGGCGGCAGTGCAGTATAGTAGGAGAGCGCTAGGTTAAAAGTGGACCCTTGTCTCTGCCAGTTATTGATGTTGTATTCTTTGGTAAGTCATCAGATCTTTCCATGCATCAGTTTCCTCACCTGCAAAATGGGGATAATAGCATCGTGGCTCTTGGGTTGGTGTTGGGCTCAAGGAATGACACCTGAGCAGTTTGCCCAATGGACGGCGGCAACCCAGGGCTCCTGATGGATGGATCAGTGTGCACTTTCCAGTCCACTAGCTGACACCAAAAGACAAGCTGCTTGTCTGCTCGTGAAACTTGACTATGGGGTTAGATGAGCTCAAAGCAAAGAGCAGTGACAAGACAAGGAGGGTACTCAAGGCTGGGCAGTCACTTCCATTGCTCTCGGCCCTGAACCACCTCATTGTCCACACCTGCTCTCTTTTTTTTTTTTAATTGAAGTATAGTTGGTTTACAATGTTGTGTTAATTTCTGGTGTACAGCGTAGTGATTCAGTTTTACATACATATATTCCTTTCCATATTCTTTTTCATTATAGGCCATTACAAGGTATTGAATATAGTTCCCTGTGCTATCCAGTAGGACCTTGCTGTTTATCTGTTTTATATATAGTAGTGTGTGTCTGCAAATCCCAGCTTTTTATTTAGCTCAGGCACTTCCGCAGCAACATACATGTATTCTGTACCTACTCTGAAGGATGCCAGCTCTTTAATGTGCACTCTATGCCAGGCACCCTGCTAGGAGATTGACGCTTACCAATTAGAATCCTCTCTACAACCATGTCAGGGAGATTTGGATGTGCAAATCTGGAATCAAAGAGTGATCTGGCCATGAGATCCGCATTTGGAAAGTGATCATCATGCCAAGGAGATTGGAAGCCTTGGGAGTTGGTGAGGAGGCATACAGGACGGTCCCCTCCCCTCTAGGCTACCTCCTATGTCCTCTTACTTCTCTGCTCTTGAAAACTTCCAGAACCTTATTTCCTTCCAAGTCTTCTCAAGTGGAAATGACAGGGTGTGCTCAGGGCTTGCCCAGCCCTGCCTTTTCTGCCCTCGGGACTTCAAGTTCCTCACACTCCCCAGCCCCATCCTTAGCCTTGGCCTTCAACCTAAGTACCCTTGTCTGGTGAGTCTTTCCAGTAATCACTGTGTCCCGTGACCTTTACAAAAAATGCCCCCTGAGCTGGGGATCAGCCCTGCAGAATAAGAAGGGGTGCCTGTTCCAGGACCACCCAGGGACTTGGGAAGCCTCCCCCTCCCCCTGCCTGGCTCTCAAAGACTCCCCATAAAACCCTCTGCCTGCTCCTGTCTCCGCCACAAGTCACAGAGATGCAATAAAAGTGTGTTGACTGTATGAGGTCATTTTTATCATTTGGTGGCCCAATCAGCGTGTCTGTCACAAAGCCCATCTCTTCAATTTTAGCTTTCAGCATAGATGCAAACAAGCTGGCATTATTTTCCAGGTAAGTACTTCTCAAGGGAGAGTTCCTCCTAGAGATGTTGCTTGCCACGGAGCAAAAAGTGTGGGGAGAGAGGCCCATCTTTCTTGCCGGTGTAAAGCGGGGTGACAGTCCCCACATCACCCGCCTTACAACTAAGTTGATCTGAGGAATGAGGACAAGTCCTCAGCCCGACTGTGCTTTTGCCTTCCCAGGGAGACGGTGGGCTTATACGCCGTCACCCCATCCTGACCTGAGTCTTCTTTTGTGAATGGACTAATCCCTGTTCCTCTCATTTTTCTCTTAGATACAACACTTTGCAGCAAAACATTCGATGTCTGCAGAGCTGGCCTTGGCTTACAGACCACACACCGTCCGCTGGACTTGTTGCCCCGTGGCCACGCCCACCACTCCCCTCTTCTAGGCAAGTGTTGCTAGTGGGGAATTTCCTCTCTCCTGTTGTGTCCTGTGGCTGGTGGGGGTGGGGCAATAATCAGAGGGCCTGCCCACTCCCTGTGGAAGCCAATGAGCACCCACCTTCACTGTCCTAATCTATCAAAGGGCAGTCAGGCATCCTAATCTCCTGGGAGGACCTTGAATGGCGAGCAGGGTGACACAAAGCCAGAAGAGGACTTCGAGTAGATTCATTTGCCCCAGGAGTGGTGCCTGTCCCTCTAGAGTGCCTGCTGCCTGCCCAGCTGGGTTCCTGACTAGATTTCCTGCCTTCCATCACTGCTCTAAGCCCCCAGTAGCATCCCATAACATCCCCTTCTGCACAAGGTAACCAAGTCCCTTTCTGTCACTTGTGACCACAAGATTTTGAATGGATACAGGCAGTTTCTGAAAGGGGCACTATGTTATCATTAATATCCAGCATCGCTGAAGAGGCAGGATTAATTAGTGTGAACCCTCTTACTTCACCTATCTTTGGGGCGGTCCACAGAGAATTTATCCCTGAGCCACTAATGAATTTTGCAACTGTCACAAAACAATGCAAATAAGTAAGACCCACATCTGCTGAACACCATCATGAGGTCAAACTGTGTGTAAATAAACGCTTGCATCAAGGAGAGGGTAAATCCTAAGGTGAGGAGTGACAGGGTTTTGTTTGCATAAACCCAGCAAGGTATTATGGGTAGGATATTAATTAAATCATGCTCCTGGGCCTCACGGAGGCCCAGCTGAACAGCTTCAGCTTGTTGACAAACCGAACGCAAGGTCCCCGGAGAGAGCACTAACATTTTGATGAACAGGGTTTGTTGGGGGTGATGTTTCCTAACTAGCATTTTAATATCATTTTTGACGCTTTGTCTGAGCAACTGGAAAAGAACATTCAGATAAAAGAGAGGGGCAAATATCAGATGTCCAGAAGACGAAACTTCTATCTAATCTTGGTCTACTGGAATTGCTCCCTGGGAAGAATTTTTTGCTACCCTCCGTCTGCCCTAGGCCTCCCTGCACCCCTCCCCCCATCCTATCCCTCCTCCCCGGAGCACACACAGCTGGGAGAACATCTCTGAAGACTGTTGACGCTGCCCCAGGTTTAGATGAAATTTGAATACCTCTGATAAACTGCCTGAGACCTTCAGTCTGTCCTTTTGTTCTTCTTTCTCTTTTGAAGAAATTAACCTGATGATAGGTACCGTACTGCCTTCACAGAAAGGGCTTTTATTTTCAGATTGAAATAAAAGAACCCATCTCAGCTGGACTGGAAGGTGGGTCATTGAAAGACTCTCCATGACCACCACATGTGCCCACTCTCTGAGAGATGCTGACCGTGTACGTTCCAGCTCCTTGTAATTGACTAATGACCCCGGTCCATCCATCCCAACCATTCCCGTCTTCATTTGCACTACATGGCCTCTTTCAGCTCAAAATTTCATGCTTCGTTTGAGGATTATAAAGGCTCTTTTATGTGAGAATATGCAGACAAATATGAACTAATTAATGATCCCATTCTCCCCTGGGAGTGTGCAAGAGTCCTCTGACCCACCAGCTTCCCTGGCATTCTTTGACTTAGGCTGGTGTCCAGTATCATAGGGGCCCCTGCTTCTCCCCACCACTCCCCTCACCACCCCCAGCCAGCAACTCTCAACCCTATTTCCTCCAAAATACATTAAGAATCTGTCCACTTCACACCATCTCTGCTTCCGGACTGGTGGCTTGCCTTGACTGTAAAACCAGACCCCCACTTCTTCTCTTGTCTCCTCCAGTCTATTACCCAATTCTCTACCCCGCAGGTAGAGGGCAATTTCTAAGACCTCAATCTAGAAAGTCACTTTGTGTTGAAAGGCCTGTAGTGAACCTCTCAATGTGAACCCCTCCCTTCTATCCCCACCCTCCCCAACGTTGATCGTTTGGCTTCTCCAGCACACCAAGATCTCTCCAGCCTCAAAACTTTTGTTCCCTCTGCCAATATTTGGACCAGGAAGTGCCCAATTATGGCAGATCTCCTCCGTGAGCTTAAGTCTAAAGAATTATCCTAAGCCTCTGAATTTTAGGGTGGTTTGTTATGCAGCATTATTATGGCAACAGATAATGGATACGGCATCCATTATCCTTTCTTCTAATGGGAGTCCATGGATTCTGTTTTGGAGATCGCTCCTCCCCCAGTCTTCTTCACTATGACTGGTGGGGATGAGGTCACCCCCAGCTCCAGACACGGCCAATCAGAGCATTCCATCCCTCTAGCCAGAGGGACTGGGTCAGACTTGGTATGTGACTCAAGCTAGGTCAATGAGATATAATCCTGGAAACTTCCCTAGAAATAATTAGAAAGAAAAAAAAAGTTTCCAACAGAGTTTCTGAGCTCCTAAGTGAGAAGACTACAGCTACCACCAGAAAGAAAGAGCCTCCCTGAAAATCAGAGGGAAACAGCTGAAGGGAAAGGCACCAGAATCTGGCGACATCAAGTGCCTGGACCCAGCGATCCCTGATTGTCTCACCCTGGACTTCCCAATTTCGTAAGCCTATGCATTCTTTGTTCTTAAGCCATTTGACATGGTTTTCAAGTCACTCACGAATTCTTAACTTCTGACTTGTATAAGTTCCCGCTGGCATCCAGTACAGACAGCCTTGACATCATGCCCCGGTTTTCAGTCATGAGTAACCTGACCAGGTCCTTGCCTGAACTTTCTCCTTCTTTCTCTAGTACTTCTCAGTCTGTGGCCTTATCTTTAGGGCCAGCCCTACTCCTTCCTCCTTTCTGGAAATCAAGTAACAGGTAACAGCTCCTTTCAGAAAATGGAAGTGCTCCCAACCACTTCATAGTTCTCCCGTGGGCAAGGGGAAGGCTGGCCAGGCAAAAGGCACGATCTAGACATGGCAGGAAAAAACAGGACAGATAATGTGTCCCACTGCTTTGGAAATCTGTTGGTTGCAAGGTCGCAAGAAAGAGGTCAAGTCCCGAGAAGCATCGCTGGATACGTTGTGCATTGTATGGAACCACTGAATGTTCGATCTGTTTGCAGCAAACGTGACTATCTTTAGTTAAGCTTGGTGCCGGGTTTCTAGTAACCGCTGTTTTCCAGTGTGTCCCCTGACTCGTTAATCAAGCAAAGTTAATCTATTTTTATCACATGAAAAGTATGGTCCTGCATTTTAAGCAAGATAAATAAATGAATGAGTGATTTTTTAAAAAGAAAGAAAGTACATACATACATACATACATACATACATACATACATACCGGCATTCAAGTGACTGTTTTTCTTTCAGAGAAGTCACCAGTGGAAGCTCTATACTCATTGTCATGACGCTGCCATTGCTCTCAGCATTTCTAGGACTCCTACTTTGAAAGGCAACCCTCTTTAGGTTGTATAAACTCTTGAATGGGCTTATAAGGAATGATATTAGTTTGAGATTTTTTAAAAACCTTCCTTTTCATCCTCCCCTCTCTTAGTGTTTGAGGACCATTCATACCTGATCTTTATAACAGAGTAATTGATGTTAGGAGGTGTCACTTAAGCCACCAGAGATCGCTTTGTGCCTTCCAGACAGAATTTGAGGTTAGCCCAGCTGGCAGTCTTCTGCTGGTGCCTTCGTCCATTTGGGCTGCTAGAATGGAATGCTATGGACAGGGTGAATTATGGACCACAGACATTAATTTCTCACAGTTCTTGGGGCTGGACATCCAAGATCAAGGCGATGGCGGATTCAGTGTCTGGTGAGGACCTGCTTCCTACTTCACAGATGATCATCTTCTTGCTGTGTCCTCACTTGGTAGAAGGGGTGAGGGAGCTCTCTGGGGCTTCCCAAGACAACAAATGCTTCTCCCCTTCCTCAGGGCCGTAATAGCAGATGGGATGCTGGGAGAGACACTGACATTATAGGTCTAAAGATATGTAACCTGCTACACAAGTTTCCAGATAACTTATTGACCTTGTTACAGAGTCATAGTGTGATGGGTACCATCAAAGGAGGATACCCACACCATGGTGGGCAGAGGAGAAAGACCATGGCTGCGTGATTTTGTGTGCAGTGGGCTCTAGATGTAATTGATACATTGTACAACAAGAGAGTGCGGGGATAGAAGCCCAGACCTATGAAATGTCCTCATCTTATTGCCCAGCTAAGATGTATTTATAGTATTTTCTCCACACGCAGAGGGAATATTCTGTTCACTTCATTCCATATGCTAAATTCTCTTCACCTGCAGGAAGCCCAGATATGTGGAGGCCCCTCCCTTGGATGAAATCTGCCGTGATTTTCTTTCCGGACAACAAGTTCATCCTCACTGTGAGTTGTACTTTCACATTTATAAGGATGCGAATTTACCCATAAGCAACCCCATTTGCATAGCCTCATTCATGTTCTTTATCATTATAATTGCTAATAACACTGTGGTTTAGAATTGGCAAGAAGCTTTAACATCCATGTAGTAGATGCGTATGGGTGTGTCTGTCCAGTCCCCATTCTCCAAAAATCGCCCACCTCATGCACAGAGTGCTTTCAACACGCTCGGCAGCCATGTTTTTTCCTACATGACTCCAGTGTCCTGACCATAACTGCCTGGGACAGGGGCAGACATGCTCTAAACTGAGCCAGGTTCTCTCTCTTCGAAATATACAAAGACATTCAGAAACTGGAAGTTAGTTGTTGTTAAGTTGCACTAATGACAGAGTTCCGGTGGGAGGTTTTATGGTAGAGGAGGCCGTGAGTTCTGGTATCCACACCATTGCTGGGGAACCAACCTGGTGGCCCTCAATGGCTACCCAGAGTGATTGCGTGGATTCTCCTCTCCTATGATCCACACTGATGATAGATATGACCGTCAAGCCCATGGGTTGCCAAATGGCCTGTCAGAATTTGGGTTCCCCTACCAGCAGATCCTGAGACAAGGATTTGAATGTAAGTGGTTTATTTGGGAAAGACAAATAAGAGAATGAGGAAGTATATTAGTTAGGGCTCTCCAGAAAGCTGAAGC